CTCTCATTCCTCTCACACCAGCTCTTATGTCCCAAAATATCCATGTGAGAACTGGGAAACAGCACTCCAGGTTGGATCAATGCTGAGAACAGGAAGTCAAAAGACCCCTCTCTGGAGCCCCGTGTCAAGAAAGAACTCTCCCAAATCCAACACCCTCCACCTTCTTCAGATCAGCTTAGGAGAGCATGGTATGCCACTGATACTAGTAACAAACTGCTTTCTATAAAGCAATTTTGATGATAACTGTCTCAAGAACAAATAGCTGCCGATTGGGTGTTCACAGTTCAGAAGGAAGAACGCAAAGAAGTAGAAACCAAAATGAAACATGAATTGAGCTTTTTATGTCCAAAGCCATAAATCCCCAGCATCATTCAGAGTGGTGTCAGAAATTTCTAAAAAGACAGGAGGGTGACGAAGCACCTAATAATATCCTCCAAAGGAAATTAACACAACAGCTATAGAGTCACCATTAAAGCATCAGATACATCGGAAAAGGGGACAAGAATCCAATCCTTCAGTTAAAAATCTCTGCCCTCTTCAGAAGGGGCTCTTACGGAGTCAAATGCTGAGCCTCTAACATGAATTGATAACAGAGTGATGTAAAGAGAGGAAGATCGTTCAAAGATTTTCACTTTTACAAACATTTCACATTTCCCTAATAGTGAATCTTCCTTCTAAAGATTGATGGTTGGTTGTTGCAAAAAAAGTATGGGAATTTGAAGTACATCAGAGAAATGCCCTAGGTACTACAACAAGAAGCACAGATGATGCTGCAAGTAAATGGCTAAATATTACAGCCACATTTATGGCCTCTTTTACTTGAAGAAAATTTACCTTTTCATTTCTAATGCAGGGTAATGGGAAATTCATACTGTTAATTTTCCTTTAGGAATTGTAATAATAATTGTCAAATGCTTAAATACTTTCGGTACATTGTACAGCTTAAATCCTGTTGATCCTAGACAATTATTTTCTTTTAATGGGATGTAAATTTGTAAAGCTTAATTTGCTTCTCTAAAGATTCCTAAGTTTAGTAAAATCTTGAAGTGATTTAGTAAATAATGCCTTCATCATCCATGTCATCCATCCATGAAAACCAGCCTCTTCTCTTCTCTGAAATGCCCGAATCCTACAAGTAGAACCAACATTGTCCTATGATTAAAATACTGATGCCAAGGTTAATTTCTCCCACTCCCTTATCTTTCATATTAATCAGTTACTCTTGACTCACAGCATGATGGTCAAATTCTTAAACCGGCTCAGGCCACAAACCATGGGACCCCATCCGTCTTTACAAATTGATTCTTACTTAAGAGCCTTCACTGTCACCCTACAGAATCCCTCATCTCCAATCAAACAGTTCTATTTGCCTTCTCACCTTTTCTCCCTCAGGGATCCCTGAGCTTGATGGAGTCATCTGCTGGAAATTCTCATCCAAGTTACAACTCAAGTTCTGCCTTATGTCAAGGCACCCAGACCAACGAGGCCTCACAGAGGACTCTCTTGGTCAAATTTGCTTATGTCTCATAAGATGCCCCACACTTAACAGATTAACTTGCAAACTCAACAATTATATAACAAAGATGACAAAACCAACAAAGTTAGTCATTGTTATATACCATCGATCAGTGTGTCTAACGCTATCATTGCGCATGAGAATGACTTAGAATGTTAGTTAAAAATGTATATTCCTAGACCCGAGCCTAGAGATATGGTTGATATCAAGTAAGAAAACAAAACAAAACAAAACAAAACAAAACAACAATTAAAAACCTCTAGAGAATTCTGGTGCATTTAGCACACAGATGGTATTTGGAAAACATCACCACTGATTAATTTGAAACAATAAGCAAAAACCAAACACATACAAAAGTATGCCAAATTATAAAAGATGGTGAAAGAAAATCTGGCATGTTGCAAACTAGTTGCCATTATTAGGAAGCTTTTTGTGCTAGTCACCAAAAACCACATGTGCTTTAATTATGTTAATTAAAAATAGCTATTCTCATTAAGGTGAGTAATGTTAATATTAAGCTAATTTACTTCTTTTGCCTTTAAATTGTAAATGTAGAAATATTTGAAGTTATCTGTGTAAAACAGAAAATAAGATAAGTTATATTTGTTCATTCAATAATATTTAATCTTTTAGATTATTTAATTGACACAAGATTGTAAATTTTTAAGCTTTCTTTTGTTGAGTTCAATCTTTAACAAAGGCATTTGCCATGTAAGATATGCTCTGCTTTCATTTATTTCTCTAAAAACATGAAGATCTAGGTATTTATACTCCAGTCCAACCTACTTTATGGAATGGAAGTTCTGTTAGTATATTTCATGATATAAAGTAATTCTTCCTTTTTGTTGTTGTTCTTGTAAACCAACTTTTCTCATAAAATCAAAGTCCTCAACTCCAACCAACCAGAGTAAACTCTATCTCATTTCCTGTTGGCAAATGATTATAGTTAGCAATTTAGTGCTTTTCCTAGGTTTTGCAGTTTTCTTTAGTTTGATGATAATTTTAAATTTTTCCCATCATGCTCAGTTAATTTTAATTATATGATAGAGAATACTTTGCTTACCTTACTTTTCTGCTGTTGACTTGCTTGCACTAACATCCTTCTGAGAAACACTTCAGGATTTTTTAGTAAGTCATACAACCACAGATAATTAGAAAGAGGACCCTAATAAATTCAAATATAAGTTGAGGAATAAGGCGATCTTGATTCCCTTTGTGATTTTACTTTCAATTTTTTGTATAGCTTTGGGGGTGGGGTGAAGTATTGGATGGCTAACCTTGGTTCATAGCTTGTGTGCTGTTTTGTATTTTTTAAATATTAAAAAAGGCTTCCTAAGTTTAAATTATCAAAAATTTGCATTTATTAGGGATTATGCATATTTAGCACCTTTTTTTTTTTTTACCTTCTGAATACTCTTCTTAGAGTTTACCTAATTCAGAGAAAATTAGCCATCAGCTCCTCTCTAGAGTTTACATCTAAAGGAGGCCCTTGTTTAGGCCACTAGGGAGAGACATGGAGTCTTTCAACCATGTCTCTTGGCAGTGCCATGGCAAGGACATAGCAGTTTCACTGAGGGCATTAATGACACATGCCCTGTCAAACCTCTACCCAACCACCAGGGAACACTTTAGTGCAGGAATAAGACACTGCCTTGTGGTCTATGAAACTCAAAAAGACTAAAAGTGATGTTTCATCACATGAAAAGGAATTTGTATAACACATACAGAATATCGACCCATATTCACCATACAGAACACAAAAGATGGTTAAATATGAAAAGCAAACAAAAAAGGCATAAAGATTTTCATGGCAAAGGGAAAATGTGATTATCTTACCAATAAAGACAATTTTGAAAATTAAAAATATATTTTCTCTTCAAACTGTACGCCTACCCATAGCACACATATATAAACACAGATGCATGTGCACACACGAGCACTGCGTTCAGGACAGATGCAGCATGTGAGTGACTCATACAAGCTCTTAACTTATCAGGAAAGGTTTCTCATTTTACCTCCTATTTCGCACTCTCTTCCTGTAAATCAAAGTGAGTTATCATAGGCAATACTTTTAATAGTTTGACTTTGCAGAAACAAAGTGAATAGATATGGTGAAGTCCAAGGCATTGAAATTACAGGAAGTGTCAGTGGGTCTCATGCTACATTTCTGTGGCATTTAAGGACAGGAAGACTTTCTCATGACAAGAGTTACACTTTTGTAAATATCTGCATTAAAAATTATTTTACAAATCACATAATGCACTCTGTTCTGCAATTTAACATATATCTTTATTCAAAAGGTTTTTTTCCTTGACACCTGTATCGAATTACATATTCTGATTTTTAAAATATTTTCCCCAAATTTAGAGACAAAAGTAGTTTGGTTTTTAAAAATTAGTCTTCTCAATCTTAAAACTTATTTCCAAATATAACTGGGAAGGGAATTGAATTTTTACACATTCAGTATATGTTAATCAATAAAATGAACTCTAAGTTGACAACTTCCCTTCTTGCCATCAGTTCAAGTAAAGCGTTGCAGTCCAGTTCCAGGAAGGGAACCACAAATGTTTGAAGGGAGACTTCTTTGAAGGGAGACTTCCCATAGTATGTCGAATATGAAACTTCCTCAGGAGCTCAAAAACTCTGAGAGACCTAGTATCCACCCTTATGTCATATCTGAACTTTTTAGGTAAATATACATTCTTTAGAGGAGCATGTAAGAAGCAGGCACAAATACGTAAGTCTTTGGAAATCAGAATGTCTCAAAAGTGTCTTGACAACGTTTTTAGGCGAAGTTAAAATACCGCTTATTAAAAAAAAAAAAAAAATCACCTTTTCAGTATTTTACGACCGGATTTTAGAAATGCAAAGTTTATGAAGTTGTAAAGTCACTCCTGATTGTGATCTACACAAAATCCTGTGGCATCTCAAGTTTGACCAATTTTCTCATGTGATTCTGAAGTCTTAAGTCCTCCAGCCCGGTTACTAAATTCCTTTACGTTTTTCTCAAGTTGCGCACAGCGCCTGGCGCTCCGCATAATGGGACACTCCAGGAAAATACGCCTGGGGCTGGCTGGTCTTAACAGTCCCAGAGCTCTGTGACTCCCACCAACCTGCGGGAGAAGAGCCTCCGGACCGGAGTGAACTCCAGCTGCCCAGAGCCGCGCTCCTGCACAGACAGGTTCAAGACCCGCTAGGCGCGCCGCGGGGATTGCTCTCAAATACGTTACGTGATCTCTGTCACTAGCCACCTCCACCGGCCCTTCAGTCCTACAACTTTTTAGTAACAACTTTCCGTGAAAAGAGAGAGAGAGAGAGAGAAAAGTTATCTCCTAGGAAGCGTGCACTCCGCTCAGAAATTTTGTATCCAACGTACACAAGGTGACACCCGAACACACACTGCTCAGCGAGGTTCTGAATCCTCGGCGGCCCGAACCCCGCGGTCCCCTCACAGCCCATCCCGAAACGTGCAGCCCGCACCCACCTTGGCCTCGCCCGCGTCCGGCTCCGCGTCCGAGGAGAAGCCGAGTTCCGACTCGAAGGCAGCGGCGGCGGCGGGCGCCTTGCGCGGACCCGGGAGCAGCGCGGCGGCCAGCAGGGGACAGGCCAGAGAG